AGTTTCAAAAGGCTTTCTGGCAAGCCACTGAAAAACACTTCCAGCAAACCACCCACGTGCAGCCTGTTGTTTTGCCAAAAGCCAAACATTTTCCCCCTCTCAAAGAAACAACTCAGGTGAGTCATAGAATCCTAGAATCCCAGGGCAGGAAGAGACCTCAGGAGGTCATTGAGTCGAACCCCCTGCCCAAAGCAGGACCAATCCCAACTAAGCCAACCCACCCAGGGCTTTGTCAAGCGGGGACTTAATAACCTCTAGGTATGGAGAGGTTTTTAAGTCCCGGCTTGACAAAGTCAAAACCCAGTGACCCCATTTACCAGGAAATTCCAATCTTTGGACATTTGTTTTCGTTCCTAATCAGAAGAAGCAACAATTTTGAACTCTCTGAAGAAACTACTTGTGGGTTCAACCCCTGGCTGTGAGGTCTAGTGTTTAGAGCAAGGGTGGTGGAAGAAGAGACTAGAACCAGGACTTTTGGGTTCTCTCCTAGCTCTGGGAGGAGACTGGGGCGGTGGGGGTTAGAACAGAGGGCTGGGAGCCAAGACTCTTGTGTTTGATCTCTGGCTATGGGATCTGGTGGATTAGAGGAGGCTGGTAGGCACCTTGCAGCAGGTGCTCATTTGTTTTCCAGTGCTCCCCATCCGCCGTCCTGAGGTGACACCCGAGGGTTCTGACACCCAGCCACACGGCCTCTTTCACCACCCAGGCCCCTGCAGAGTCGCGCTCTTCCCACGCCAGGCTGGAATAGGGTTCCCAGCCCACCAGGATTATCCTGGAGTCTCTAGGAATTAAAGATTAAGAACCCAATGAAATTAATAGGCAGCAGGTTTAGGCAGAGGAAACTTTTCTTCATGCAGCGCACAGTCAATCTGTGGAACTCCCTGCCAGAGGATGTGGTGAAGGTCAAGACTTGACCAGGGTTCAAAAAAGAACTAGATAAATGCATGGAGGATCAGTCCATCGATGACTAATAGCCAGGATGGGAAGGGAGGGTGTCCCTAGCCTTTGTGAGAAGCTGGGAATGGGTGACAGGAGAGGGCGCACTAGATGATTCCCTGTTCTGTTCATTTCCTCTGGGGCACCTGGCATTGGCCACTGTTGGAAGACAGGACACTGGGTTAGATGGACCTTTGGTTAGAGCACTAGCTAACACTTAGAAACATTCCTTTCGTTCCCTGCTCCATCACGGGCCAGGGAGCCTGCTGGTCAGCCAACAAAACAGCCTCCCATTGGAGCAGAGCAGGATCACTGCTTGGACCATACACTTTGTTGGGCCAGAGGGGAAGAGACGGGCATGACCCTCCTACCCAATAAGCTCCTCCCCCACACCAAACTAAAATGGGCGGGGCCAGTCACCCTCCATTGGGCAGGTGCTCAGAATAATTCTCTGGGCTCCTTGGGGCTGGTTAGAAGGGACATGGGGCAAGCTAGGCCTAGCTCCTTGCTCCAAGAGCCTCTGTGGTGTTGGGCCTATCCCCCATTTAGGCGGTGAATTGCCACAGAAATCAAAGGAATTCAGGTGCCTAATTCCATGGGAATCAAAGATATTTAAGTACCTAACTTTCATAGAAAGCAAAATATTTAAGTGCCTAACTCCCAGTGGCAAAGTATTTACGTACTTCATTACCTCCACTGTATGAGTGACGAAGGGCAAACAAGGGAGTTTTCAGTTTGCTGGGAACTTTGTGAAGTTGGCTGGGGGATTGCTTCAGGTCAGACCAGAAATAAAAATTTTTGAATTTTTTTGGTGAACTGGAAAAATAATGGGGAAAAACTGGTTTTGTGTCAAGTTAAAGCACAGCCAAAATATTTTGTTTGGATCTTGATCATTTTTAGACCTTTGTGCATTCAAACAATGAAAGGAGATTTTTAATTCACAGTTATTGCAACTCCCCCCCCTAAAATGGAAACACTTCATTTCAAGTTCAGCTATTTTAAAATATGCTCCATAAAAACAAAAAAGCAATTTTGAGAGAAAACGTGTTTCACACCGAAATACAAAAATTCCCTTTGCAAGCTCTTCATTTTGGTTTAGAAATAATGAATTCACTGACACTGACACAAATTCAGGGGGGGGAGGGAAACACCAAAAACATTTTCCCTGGCTTCTGCTACCAGCTCCCAAAAGTTTTGTGATTATTAGCAGGAGCAAGTGAAGGAACACGAGCAAAGGTAAAACTTTCCTGGGTTCTACCAGTGACCTCTTGAGTTGTCTGAACAACTCACTTTTGTGCCTCAGTTTCCCCCTCTCCTATATTGTGTCCGTCCTGTCTATTTAGAC